GCAGGGACAGAAGAGCACACAGCCACACAACACATGGCAGGATAAACCAAGTTAGCTAGCTAGTGTGCAGCTTTCACCTGTGCACTCATCCTGGACCTAAGAGTCTGTGATCACATAGAGACCACACTGTAATGCAGCTCTACAAGTGGACAGAACTAAGAATTAAGGCAACTTTGTAAGAATTAAGGCAACTTTGATCACTGCCTTTCCTGACTTCCAAGAGCTTTCTGCAGCTGCCATAGAAGCATTTCAGCTCAACCATGTAGTCTCCCCACAGCCTTTGCCAAAGTGATTCCTCCAGTCCACAGTCAGTTCTCAGCCTCCCTCCTTCTGAAGGCTCTTCATGCACAAGTAAGATAGAATTATTTTTTCCCAGGGCTGATGGCCTGTTCCAGCTTGGGAAGCATCACCATGCTGTGCCCAGAGATCAGCTGTGCTGACCATGGACCATTAAAGCCACTACAAGGAGCTGTAAGCCTCTCCAGGCTGGAAAGGTAGGGCACAGCAGAGCAAACAGCAAAAGCAGATTGCTTCCTCCTAGGAGGACCAGCATTAGCAAGTAGCATATCACGTAATTCACCTGTGGATTTCATAGCTGCTACATGACAGCAAAGGAGAGCCAGGACACCTGGGTTCCCTTTCACACCCGGGACAGACCCTTTCATCAACCTCACTGCCACCAAGCACGCTCCCACATGGCACCCAGGCCTGGTCTCCATGCCATTTATCCTCCTCCGCTCACTAACTTCCATTTCGACTTCCCAGCTCTCTGCCCAACAAGCTAAGTCTCTCCATCACCTACCAGTCCAGGACTGTTTCTTTCCCCAGTTTTCCAGCTCCTTGCCCCAACACGCAGAAACTTTCCCTGTATCAGCCCTGGGACCCAGCGCTGCTCAGGTTTACAGCAGCCTTACGAGCCATCCACAGCTGGGCTGCAGGACATCCTCTTGGCCACCACAGGGACTCAGGGATGGAACAGGCTCTGAGGGAAGCATCTGCTGTGCAGCCCTGGGATCACAGCGCTCACACCCTCCAGGGACTGGGGCTCTTACAGCACTACGGGCTGCTCCCTACCATGCGGCAACCAGTTTTACTTGGTGAGGAGTGGGCTCTCACCACAGCTACTAAACAGCAGGCTCCCACACAAGGATCACATCCCTGGAAGCTTCCAAAAGACCCCTCTGTCCCCATAACATCAAACAGTAGTAGAGAATTTCTCAGGTAAGAAAGTTCAAGAAATCATGTCATTTTTAAATGACCAAGCAGCATCTCTTTC